GGTTTTTCCCACGACGCGCTGACAAAACACTAAACTGATATGTGACAAAGTGTAAGTTCACAAACCAGAGATAGTATTTCATGGACATGTTTTCAAATCCGATGGATTGAAACCTGGTGCAGAATAGACCAGGGCAATAAGAAAGTGCCACCCCCTACTGACGTGAAAGGGTCATTCGGCAAAACGGAATCGTCAATTACCTGAGTCGCTTTTTACCAAGACTTGCCGAAGTAATGGCACACATACGCAAACTGGCGCACAAAATAGAAGATCGGTAATCAGACAACGAACAAGAGAAAGCCTTCAATCAATTAAATTATCTGATCGCGGTTGCTCCAATCATCGCGTACTTTTATCTATCTCTGCTTATCGAGACACAGGGAGATAGCAATAATATCGAATTGGAGCGGTGTCAATTCAAAAGGGAAAATCGCTGGATTTTCGAAGTCGGATTCGCACACTGGCCAAATACCGTTATGCATAAATCAAGGAGATGCTCACAACAACGTATGCGATCGAACGCATCGTCGAGTACACTTATGGGCGGAAGACCACCTTATACACAGAGCACAAGCCATTGAGGTCAGTATTAAAAAAAGCCATCCCATGTCGTGCCGTGTAGTCTTCAAAGAATGCTCACTCGGCTTCTTAAATACGATTTGGGGATCGTCTACCAGCCTGAGACTCAGATGTATACTGCGAGCGCGATGTCAAGAACCCATCTTTCGGATGCAAGTGTCATGCAAGAGTACCTTAGCTCGGTTCATACGACACAGCAAGTCGCTGTCAATGGAGAGCGTTTACAACAACAGAGACGTCACACGGACGAAGATGCGGTTCGCAAAAGGTTTAGAAGGAAGAATAGCTGGCAGATGATCAGAGGATCTGAGTAGTTCGCAGGCGAAACTGACACTACCTTTCCATTTTCGTGATGAATTCGTTGTAGAAGACGGCATGATCTTCAAAGAAATTTGAGTGTTAATCCCAAGGGCAGTGCAACGCACCATGCTAGAGACAATTCGTGTTGACGTGGGAGTGAACATTTGCGTAGCACGAATCATGGAGTAGATGTTTTGTCCTGGGACGAGCGGTCGGATTCGGTAATATGTGTCGAAGTTTCCAACTTGTCGCGCCCATCATGTTCGACAAACGAAAGAACCAATGGCACTTCGAGATGCTGCAAAAAGGCTGTATTAGAATGTGGCAGTCCTACTGTTCACGCACGACGACGGAAAGGATTAACCAATCACGGTAGATTACTTCGGTGACTAGTTTGAGGATGATGCAATGCCCTCGACCAGTGCTCATGCTGTGGTAAACAGCCTGCACAATCATTTTGCTCGACTTCAAATCCTTGAAAGATTAGTATCGGAGAACGGACCGCCGTTTACTGCGGAGGAATTCCGAGCTTTCAATGAGAAGTGGAAATTTGGTCGTCACCTCACTGGCCCTTACCATAGCCAGTTGAATGGAATAGCTGAGGCAGCGGAGAAATATGCGGAGAGATTACTAACAAAATCTAGGGAGCTGAACGACAGCCCGTACATCATGTTCCTGAAAGAAAGAAACATTCCATCTCCGGATATCAGATTTAGTTCTGTTCGACATTTAATTATCCGTAGAACGAGAACTTTGTTGTCCGTGGCCAAAACCCTGCTCCAACCGGAAGCATAATCACCGGCGTTGATGCATGACCGTTTGGAAAAACGAATGTTCAGGCAGAAACGGTATTATGATCGCGGATCTAAATAGTCACCATTATTTCGAGTCGGCGAAGTGGTATGGATACAACTGGCACCTGGAGCAGTAAAACAGTGGAGGAGAGGAGTGGTGGAAACGCGTATATGATGAAGCAATTATAATCAAACCTGTCCAAAGTGACCACTTGCGTGGTCGCTATGGACAGATGGTCATCATGAACAGGTCCACGCATAAGGACATTACTCAAGATAAAATGTTGGGGATGTTTTTGGCTGGTCGCCATGGCAGGTTGAATTGTATACAGCAAACGTGGAAAACGGTTTGTATCGGCGGAACCGCATTCCCGTGAGACAACATCCGCAGATGAGTGTAAAGTCGAGCGAGCGACAAACTCAGCAGAAAAGCAGAGGTGACAGAATGAGGACATTCAGCGGAAGAGCGAGCGGAATTTCAGCACTGAAGAATCACAAACGGAAAAAACTGAGGTGTGTTATGGGCATTGTGTAATGGCAGCTGTTGGTAGTTGCCAACGCATTCTGAAGGAATAAGTAAAAGGCCGTTTGTGTTCGATTATTCGCCGCCAACTGACCAGCAACGCTTACCTGCATGAGCGATAATCGCTTTGTCAACCGGCAAGAGCAATCGGCTCAGCCGATGAATATGCCAAGAAGGGCGTTACACAGTAACTGAATGGCTTCCTAATGACTGTTGTGGCAGATCCCAAGAATCTCTCAGAAGCAGCACGCATTCTCCACAATGTTCCTTCTATCAGTCTCTCCAAACCTATTGACAGTTTCGTCGAGTGGACATTTTGTGATCATATCCAACCAGGTGCAGTATCAGCGGATAAGTTGCAATGTGTGGAGAACTAGGTATACTAAGATCAATAGGCATACTGAAGAGTGACTAAGTGACTGTTAAGTATGGCCCTTAGCCGATAAAAGGAACAGAACGCGCACGCCTAGTATGGAACCGATTTACTAATAGCATCCTGCGTTACAGTGGCTAGAAAAGCCGAAAAGGAAAACCAATGAAATAAGGAAAGTAAGGCAAGGTCATTCTCAACCAATCATGTAGGGGCCTGTGTTTACGAATCGATACTCAAGTGCATGAGTGACAGTGAGATTGTTCAAGTTTACAAGGAACTCATTGTAGGGTCGAGGGATGTTATCAAATGCAGTCACAAGCGTCTATATGGTGCATTTTGTGGATCAAAGCAGAGAGATACCATAATACTGACATGTGTTCTCCAAGTCATGTTTTGAAAACGACCATCAGCAGTGTAAACGAGCAGTTTTCCCCATAGACCTTAGACTCGGTAGACCAGAGTCAATAACGCATCGACTAATCTAGGGAAGATAACCGCTCGCTTGTTTAAATAGTCAATACAGAAAGAATAGAGATAACCCAACTTCTACCAGTGCCCGACAGGATTTGATGCATAACGAAAACGAAGTGGCAACGAATGAGAATTGGTTTCCTGTTCATCATCGCTGCTATAATCGAATCATGTAGTTCGTTAGGTTTGGACCAAGGAAAGCTTAAAATATCGCGCGAAGGATAAGCCAAAGGGAAGAGTTAGGTGAATTTAATGACATCGAGTAAAAAGTGGGGGCTTAATTTTTGGGTAAACCAGCGTACTCCATTAAATGGGAAGAGGATTCAACGATCCCAGTCGATAAACTGCTCTTCCTCACTTCTCTGAGCTCGTACCTTTTAAGCAGCATACAATTTAGATATTGGTATTAGAAGATGACAGCTTTTTAACATGGTCTTTTTCTTAAGCGTAAGGTTTGGGAAGCATCATGAGCTGCAGGGATACGGAGTAATAACATCCAGAAGACAGATCAATAGTTGGATGAAAATGAACAACGCTTCCGGCTCGTTTAGCGGCCCCAGCGTGGCATTGAAGTGACGGCCGGTCCATTCACGTCCCAACCTGTAAAGCTGCTTGGGAGATTAAAGAAGTCGAATGTTGCACTCTTCACTGTAAGGTGACTAAAATAACTGAAGAGTTAGATCAATGGGTGCTGTGGCTGCGCACTTCAGGGCCGAAATCAAACACACTACTCGAAAATGTGTTGAAGAAAGGGATAAAAACGTGCCGATAACATCTCGGCAACAGCGATTGACGTAGTGTCGGCCCAAATTGTTAGTCTTAGTACCCTAGGGTGAATTTGTATTGAGAATACACAGGCTTGGAGTGTTCAGTGCGACAATTGTTCATGAGGGCATAGCAAAAGAGCATGACGATTGATTCGACGGTAATCCAACTAACAGTAGAACTATCCAGAAGGGGAAGAAACGAGCATGAGGGACCTGAGTAACATAGTGATGTTAACCAATTCATCGTAAGGAGTTGTCGCTGGATAAGTAAAACGGATGTCTAGTAATTTTCGGGACGAATTATGGCCTTTTGACTGAACACAGGATTAAGTCACCAATGAAATGCAGTTAAACCTCCACTACATTAAAATTTAAAACCACATAAGATAGATCCTAGGCGGTTTCGCAAAAGAAACCTTGATTAGGGAAGACTTCACCGTCTCTAACTAACAACGTGCAGAGTTTAAGAGGAATACTACCATGGCCACGGGCTTGGGTAATTGACTGAGAGTCTTGGAAGACTCGTGCGTGCTGTCGTCGTTGATGGGGGCCTCGGGATAGTCCACACAAATGGATGGAGACCCTTTCAGACATGACGCAGTTGTTGACGTTCCTGAATTCGGTTTCTTACATCTATTTGTTAATTCTCGTTCCATTCTGATTAGTCTAACGCACTGCTTTCTTACATCCATCTTCTTTACGTTATATGTACCGTTGTTATTTATCCAGTACTCTTGCGATGTGAATCGTGGCAACTGGATCCACTGCACTTCGGTGCTCGGACCACAGTGGTTCAATTGAAGTGAACTGAAATGAAATTACGCAAGTCGGGGATACCACACCATCGTCCCAGGTGACCAGACGACATCGAGCTTCATGTCTTGAAAAACAGACGGACCGCCGTGGGGTCCGAAAAGACAAAGTGGCGTCTAGCTATCCACCTGCGTCGGGAGGCATCCATTTGGGGGAATGTGGCAGAAAGCACTGCGTCAAAAACAACTATTATTAAATAAGGGAGGAGATAGAGTCATGTTTGTGATATTTAAAGGGGGGGGGTAGGTGGAGGATAAGGGGGAATATGTAAGGGGGTAGGTGTGGGTTGTATAGGTTAATTAGGGAAGGTTGCAGATGAGGGTAGGAGATAGGTTTTTAAGGGTATGGGTTGGGTTGGTGGATTGTGTTGAAGGGGGTATATGGGTAAGGGGGGGGGGGGAGTGGGGGGGGGGGGGGGGGGGGGGGGGGGGGGGGGGGGGGGGGGGGGGGGGGGGGGGGGGTGGGGGGGGGGGGGGGGGGGGGGGGGGGGGGGGGGGGGGGGGGGGGGGGGGGGGGGGGGGGGGGTGGGGGGGGGGGGGGGGGGGGGGGGGGGGGGGGGTGGGGGGGGGGGGGGGGGGGGGGGGGGGGGGGGGGGGGGGGGGGGGGGGGTGGGGGGGGGGGGGGGGGGGGGGGGTGGGGGGGGGGGGGGGGGGGGGGGGGGGGGGGGGGGGGGGGGGGGGGGGGGGGGGGGGGGGGGGGGGAGGGGGGGGGGGGGGGGGGGGGGGGGGGGGGGGGGTGGGGGGGGGGGGGGGGGGGGGGGGGGGGGGGGGGGGGTGGGGGGGGGGGGGGGGGGGGGGGGGGGGGGGGGGGGGGGGGGGGGGGGGGGGGGGGGGTGGGGGGGGGGGGGGGGGGGGGGGGGGGGGGGGGGGGGGTGGGGGGGGGGGGGGGGGGGGGGGGGGGTGGGGGGGGGGGGGGGTGGGGGGGGGGGGGGGGGGGGGGGGGGGGGGGGGGGGGGGGGGGGGGGGGGGGGGGGGGGGGGGGGGGGGGGGGGGGGGGGGGGGGGGGGTGGGGGGGGGGGGGGGGGGGGGGGGGGGTGGTTATGTGGTTGGGGGTGTGGGTGTGGGTGTGGTTGTTATTGGTGGTGTGGTGGATGGGTGGTTGTTGTGTTTTGGGGTGGTGGGGGGTTGGTGTGTGTTGGGGGTGGTGTTTGGGTTGGGGGGGGGTGTGGTGGTTGTGGGTTGGGTGGTTGTGTTTGTTGGGTTGTTGGTGTGGTGGGGGGTGGTTGTTGGGGGTGGTGGTTGTGGTTTTGGGTGTGTATGGGGGATGGGGGGGTGGGTGGGGGGGGGGGTTATTGTGGGTGATGTTTTTGGGTGTGGTATAGTGTGTGGTTGGTGGATTTATATTTTTGTTTGGGAGGGTCTGTGTGGGTATATTGCAATTTCTTAGGGAAGATATGTGGGATATAGTTTTGTGGGGATTTAAGGGGATTTGGGTTTTATGTTAGTGAAAGTAGAATTTGTTTTAGTATGGGTTGGTAAGTGCTATTTAGATTTGGGGTTGGACGGTTCGACTACACAGAGTGGCCCACGTTCGCGTCGTTGCTAGGGTGCGAGGTTGAGTGGGGGTGACGAGCTATCAACACCGTTGAAGGTAGGCGTAGATGGTCCTGTATCTGGCTGTACAAAACCTGTGACGCCGAATCGCACGGATTCAGAGAGCTTTAGATTTAAGGCAATCGATGGAGAAAGCGATTTGACAGGTGATAAAGTGAAGTTACCGTTCGGTGTGTTTGCTGATTCGCCAGAAGAGGGAGTGGTGGATTTGAAAGGGTGAGAGAGATCACGGTTGCCACAAATCGGTGAGGGAAGAATGCACATACGCTTGGAGGCTGGGGATTCCAAAGTGTAACCAACTGCACTAAGGCAATCGGAAGTCACTTTGCAGGGCGCGGTAACAGGTGAAGGAAGATCAAGGTGTGATTCAGTGCTTACAACGGAATTGTCTGCTATAGTCTCAGCCGATGGACTTGACATCCTTTCTCTCAGAAGCAGACTATTGGTCTCAGGTCTATCATTTAGCAAGGGTCGGTTGACATAACTCCGACATGATACGAATGAGGCAGATTTTCGCCGATCTACTGGGCCGGTATCAGGAAAGGCGGTTGAATTAGGGGGAAAAGGAACTGCTAGTGAAACCTGATGGGACGGATTTGTAAGTGGTGCTTGGTGAGCTGGCCTAGGGAGCCCGTGGCAGTCTGAAGCGTGTGGTGAAGTTACGTATGGCCAGTAGGGTGGGGATCTACCAAAAATGTTAGGTCGTGAAAGTGCATTTCCGCGTCTCTCGGAGTTCACTATCTTGAAAGGGTGTTTAGACATGCCAAAAGAGTGAGATGGCTCGAGGAGTGCGGATGGACCAAGAGCACTATCCGGCTTATCAAAAAAATGGAATGGAGATCGATTCGAATGGTACAATTCACGTGGCATGGTGGGGTTAGTTGTGGCGGTAATGACATGCTGGGTGGGTAAGAGGATAGGGAGGCCGTCGATGGAAGCAGAGGGTGTTTTGGCCTGAGAGATCATGTGCGGATTGGGAGGTCGGTAAAGCGATGCATGTAAAAAAGACGAAGAGAGAGGTGAAGAGTGACGAGTTTGTATAGGAGGGTGTGATGCACGCAGTGCAGTAGCGAATGGGTCCATGATGTTGGAGAAACTTTGACGATTCAAATGGGGACCTGGAAACTCGGAGTAATCCATATGATGTGACGAGGGTAGATGCGGCATACTTAGAGGAAATTCATCCACATCGGAGTCGGAAATGAACCGGATACATTTTTTCTTGCGGCTGTGCAGGCAAAAGGAAAGTAAGCAGTGAAGCCGTTAAAATATATATTTGCATGTTACTAGCACACTTTAAGTAGCTTGGAGTAACATGACAATATGGATCACAGGTACTGGCTCGTGGTACACTTGAAGTGGCGAAAAACTGTCAATCCCGTTCTAATTACCGGCGTTCCCTAGCCGGCCACTCTCGGTGCGTTATCCAAAACCTCACAGCCAGGCCACACCCATACTTGCATGCCAGTTGATTGAAGGTTAGAAATTTAATGGATGCAACAATATTCATACGAGTCCAAAGGGGAATACCGCCTGGTGCCTGAATTCGACTGAATGCGGCACTTCTCTGATAATGTCCAAAGCGCAGCAGAGTGATGATGCCTCGCAGTCAGGAGAATAAAAACGTAATAGAAAAGCCGGACAAAGTGCACGAAATGGAAGCGTAAGAAAGGGGAGTAGGTTCACAAGAGCACAACTATCGATATGCGCACGCAAGTACGCATAGCATGAATATTGTTCAGTGTCATTATAGCAGGCAACGTATACGTGCAATAAGTCGAGCGAAGTAAGGCGAATGCAAAACTCACACAAGTGAGGCATATAGTTAATCCGCATGCATTATTCGAAACAAAGGGAGAATATAATGTAGTCTTATGGTCCTTGGTCATAGTTTGTTATGGGCGACTGCTTCATCATCATGGAAAGACTAGCGGGGTGTTGTGGTGTACAAAAGCTCGTTCCGTATAATAGTTATAAATGGAAGGCGCTGGAAAGATACCTAATGTAGAGCGAAAAGCGATAAGGCAGCTTGAACATCGACTCAGTACAGTCCAGTTAAATGAATATGATCCGAGCACACAAGTGTAGCTGATCTAGTTTCCACGACATCAACATGATAAAGCCAATCAATAATGGGGGACAGTTGGGAAAAATGCAAAGGAAAAAATCCGCAATTTGACAAGTCAACAGCTAAAGTAATAGATCGAATGCAGGAGCGCCGCTGAATGTTCAATGTTGTATAGGGTCTCCAACTACTTATGTGACTTATCTCGAGGTTTCCATTCGCCTTGATCAAGTCACCCAGTCAGATACAGGCAATTTCGATCAGGTCCTCAGTTGGTAATCTAGCAGTTTCGACAAACAATGTAGACGGCCAACGAAGTTACATAAGTGATGATCCAGCCATAGCAAGCGACACAAGTGTAATGAACACACCAGTGCAGCGTCAGAAAGCATAGCTCCGGACACCAACCGCCGAAACATGATGGATTTCGACGTCAAGAGTAAACACAGTTACCACAAGACATCATAACCTCACAAAAACCTTAAAACGAGTGATAAAGGAACAAAGCGAGTCTGGAGTGTTGTTAGGAGCCAAGCAGTGATGTGTCTCCGTGAAAGACCTTAACCCAGCAGCAACTTGATTCAATGCCAAAAAGCGAAACTAGAGCAGTGTTCATGCAATCCGACATTATTGGAAAAGTGCTCAACTGTGCGTTGAGTAGGAGTGGTGTGAAGACAAGACAACCGATATTAATGGACAGTACAAGGTTCCGTTGAGAGACCAAGAGGACAACAACCGCACAAATAGCCCAATCGAGCCGGATCGATGAAACGCAGACAGTATATCCCCATTCTACTACGTATCATGTCTCCAGGATGCACGCAATTCCAGTGGAGAGGTACTCTACTGCTTCATGAGGATGAATAGCAAAGAATGAGAAAGTCAGGTGATAATCAAAACATGACGTAGGCCGCACGTGTGACAAAGAAAAAGTAAAGCACATACCGGCAGGGTTTGCACCACATATTCTGATGTTCCAGTCCGAAACGTGCACGACACTTTTTCAAGCTGCCTCCAGTTAGTTCGCCTGCAGCCATCGCAGCCGCTACTGCAGCCGCAGTCGACGGAGAAGAGGATGGATGCAAAGTGTGACGGCCACCATTGTAACAAAGCATCCTTCGATTGGCTCCAAGTAACCCGCTGATGGAGCTGGAACGTGAGCCAAACATTGCACCCGGTAGAGCCACACCCGGACCGCGGCGAGTGTGTGGAAAGAAACCAAGAGGTGAACCCTCACTAAACTGGGGAAATTTCGACCCAGGAGAAGGAGGAGGATGACAGCATGGAGAGCGGTATTGAAGTGGAGGAACGGCTAAAGACGAATGCGCAGGCCGACAACTGGAAGTGGTAGGAGACGAAGAAGTAAAACAAAGTGTACGAGGAGCAGAAGAGCACGCTACTGGAGAAGACACCACTGCTGCGGATGCAGCAAAGTCTGGTGAGAATATGTCTGCGGATTTTGAGTGCGCATCTGTCAGCGGTCCAACAGCTACGGTTGTCGGCAAGCGACAGGCGTGCGAACTCACTGGATCAGCAAACGGCTCAACCGGTTTTGCGAATCGACTAGAGAAGTTGGCGGACAGTTTGTCCATAAACGATGCATGAGCTCTTGAGGGAGTTGTAAACGGTGTGACAGCTGCAGACGAGAGGGCGTTTGGTTGTTTGTCGGAAGACAGCGAGTTAGGGGACGAAGCCGGTAGGCAAGATTGTGTGAAATGTTGCGGGGAAATAAGAGCACTCATATTAGGGGAAAACTCTTTGTCAACAGTACCTGAAGAAGTACCAACGGATCTATCAGGTACTTGGTGCAGTTGGTCACTGACTGGAGTGAAGTCCGAAATACCAGAACCTGGTGCCGATGAACGTAAATCACCCAACGAAGAAGCTGATCTGGGCGAGTCTTTTGTCGTGGATAACCAGGAGGAGCGGTGTGCGCGCTCCAAGAACCGCGAACTCACAGTTGAAGAACATATGCCACTAGCAGAATGAGGAAAGCCAGATTTGGATAGTAAGATGCGACTATCACTATTTGTCTCCGGACCAAGGACAGAGTGATTTGAGGCTGGAGAATTAGACTGACACAGGGCAGATGAATCGTTTAATGGACTAGACTGTGGCAAACGGCGTACCTTTTGTGGCCGACGGATTAAATACGACGCATCTTTGTTTTCCGAGACGACGGCAGCTGAAACACCAGAGGCAAAACGGTTCATTTGTCGACTGGGATGCCCCACACGCGGCTGTCGTGAGGTGCGGGACTGAAGAACATGTCGGTGTAGAAGGTGTCGACGACGCTTGCGTTTTCGTGCATGATATGCGTAATTGTCCCGGGCGGACCAATTTGGATATAACTGCTGGTGTAGCTCCTTTTCGTGCCGAGCCATTTCGTAGTATTTCGTTTGTTCCTCTCGTGTGAGTTCGTGCCACTTTCTGCCTAACACCTGATTGATAGCTGCTGACTCCTTGAGTGTGCATTCCTCCTGCACACGAGCTCGCATCTCTTTCATGAATAACATGAAGGCATTCAGTGGCTTTTTTATGTGTATGCCCTTTGATCCGGTTGTCTTCTTAGCCACAGTCCGATCATCCACCGTCATGGAATCACAGGTCAGTGGACTGCTAGATTTGCGGTAGGCATGGGGGGAATGCGTTCTTGAAACCACCACGTCGGTACTGATATCTTGAAATTTATTCGGTCTGAAAGCAAAAGTAAAATTATTTAGAAATTAAGTGGAAAAGTATACGCAAGCGTAATACGTTTAATCCAAAGCCCATCTTCGTGAAAAATTGACCGAAAAACAGACAAGAATTTCCTACATGTACTCAAGGAGTGAAAACAGGTGGGCGAGAATGAAAAGTGGATGACTGGAGTGAATAAGGATAACAAGCGAATGACCACAGTGGAGCAGAAAATAAAAAACCAGGGAAATTCCAAGCAGAACTGTCAAAGCCGAAACGATGACGATAAGGAACGTGGAAGTAAACTAACTATGGCAGAGGGCCCGGGGAAATGACTGCCTGTTTAATTGATTCGCTCGTTTTTCGTTTCATTGCTCTTCGGATAAAGTATCAGATAGAATTACGATCTAGTTGAATAGGAAGAAATTATGGAAATGTGTGTACTAGCCGGTTCATATTGCCTTCCAGTAAATTCCATACTGTAGAAAGCTTTCTGGCTGATGAGACGTTTGCGTACCTAGGAAAGTAATACCCACGTCCGCCTCGTGCAGCATACCTAAGTAAATGCGTTCATGGGTTTGATTGAATTTTCGTTGTACTTTCGCCAGATTTACTGAGCCGTCCGCTACGCGCATGATGTCCTCAATATAGCGCTTATAAAGTGATAGTGCCCGAGTATCTAGACAGCACTTGTGGAATAGAAGATGGGATCACGAATCGTGTAAGCTGAGCTCGAGGCGCTTTGCCAATCTCCGTCAGCTGTAGTGCCGGCGCGACTCTTGCTCAGAATGGCAGAGTTCACAATGTAGCCGTTAGTTCAAATCTCCTGTACGGTTACGAAATCAAGCCAATCAGATTTACAAACCTAAGGAAACTTGTTTGACAACAGCTACCTTTGCAGTTTAGCTCATGTCTGTTGGGAACACCGCGTGAGCGATGAGTGTGTACGACGTCTTGTACTTGGGGCAGGAGGAGCGAGCGAGCTACTCAGCACCGTTATATCATGCATGCTAGCGCACGCCAGCGCAAAAATTCCTGCGAGGTCTGGATGAAAAAGAGGAGGGAGCAAAGCGATGATTTGGTCAAGAGGAAAGAAAACCTTCACTTTGAACAGCATTGGTTGGTGTCTCCCGACTACCGGACTCGGATCCCGAGGAGAATGACCATGTATGGTTGGATACACTTGTTGCCATGAAAAGAACCTGCATCAATCGCATTTGTGTTATAAATTTCGTTGTCCCTCCTCAACCCGCGCATTTACCGCATCCAACCACAATCTCAAACCGAAGCATAAGATGATACGAAGCAGTATATTGCTTGTTTTTGGTTTTTACTTTGTATCCTATAGTGTATTGCATCTCGCTTTTTTCATAAACCTTATCTTTTTGTATTGCGGCACAATAGTTAAGGCGTCTCTCACCTTCAGCTAACGTATAGTGATGATGATCAGTGACCAATTAGTTTACTTAGCAGAACCTTCTCTAGTTTAGTAACAGACACGTAAGCAAACATGGGACCCAACAGTGAGTCCAATGCTAATCCATCTTTCTAGAGAACTGTTCAGTGTGGATAAACTTAGCACGGCACCTTAAAGTCAAACCCAAGGTTGCGAAGAGCACTCATTTCGATAAATATGATCAGGCGTTTACCATTATAAAATGGAAAGTTGAAGCAGGATAGGTTTGTGAAGCGCGATAAAGCCAACACAATATACCCGCGTGTTGACCTAGATCCTGTGTACCAACAACTGAGAACGAAAAAGATCGGGCGGATTAGAAACTGCAACTTGAAAGCAAAGCGACTAAAGAACAAAGAGAACATCCTGCTTAGGCGCTTTCCCTGAACAGTACGGTCATTCAACAATGGGAATGAAAACGACCAAGCTGCGTCGAAGCAAGCATCACATCAACCAATGAGAACCATCTGGGAACCCTTGAGTACCGTACAGGTAGCCAATCCGGATGAAGTTTGAATTCTAACGCTTCAAATGGTATGTCAAGGTCAGCCCTGTAGCCGTCAGCATCCTTCTCGGAGTTGCTAAGTTACTGCTAACAAGCCATATGCCAAGTAAAGCTCATGCGAACAACTATGACTTGCCAGCTCCCGTTTCGTCTGTTCTGAGAGTTTAAGTGACTATTCCGCTAATGCACGATACAGAGTCACTCATGTGCACTATGAGTCGCAAAGGTATCCCTGCTTTATGTATATAAAGTAGCCCCATAAAAATTTGAAATCACGGTACCGACAATAGGAACCAAACCGAAAGTCACCGGTTACTTCTAGTTCGTGCATCTAAAAAAGTTTTAACGTTTTTTAGTGGTAGAACTTGTCGCTTTCGTTCATGGATCTTGAGGGTCCATCGAGTAATGTACACATCCCAAGTATTCAGGTTTATCTATAACAGTGATTCACAACCTGGGGATAATTACCCACAAGGGGGTAAAATGGGATTTTACAAGGGTCAAATATAAGTATGAGGGTTGGGTCATAAATCAGTTGCCAAACAAAAGTAATAAGAAAATCATCTGTATCAAAACATGCCACTAAGGACCTAATCATTTTTGATTAGCTATCAGTGACAAATCATTTTGAGTAGTCAGTGAATTAGACAATTTCCGGCGATAAATTTCACAACCATAAATATGAATACAAGCTTGTAAAGCAACTCAGTTAGATGGTGCCTTTATCAGCTCGTTTGTCGATCGTTGTTCTTTGAGTTAGGCAGTCGTTCTCCGGGTCAAATTACAGAGTTGAGTGGGAACATAGGTCAGCCGACCAGGTAGCGAGCGAAAGTTTACAAAACAGAATGGACAAAACAGGCGATTAGTGTTCAAGACGTATCGATAGAGAGTGATGGTGGGAAGTTGTCATCCAGAATGGACATGGAAGGGATGGTTGAAACAAATGTGAAGCCAATGATCTCTGTATATGATTGACCAAAGCAAGGAATCGAATGAAGTTGGAGTACGACTTACGATGTGCATTAGCCGAAACCCCACGAAATATATCAGAAATTGTTAGAACTAAACAATATCAACCGTCTCATTGACATACACCAATCCTAGATTCAACAAAAAGTTGCGCGAAGATAACGTTTTCTTTAGTTGAATGATCGAGAGCAAATAGAAATAGTAGTCGTAAATACGTAATTCAGAGCAAAAATGTAATGGTTAATCGGTAATTAGCTTTCAAACTAAAACTTATTCTGAAGTTAAATGTTTGTAGTGAACCCACTTTGTGGGTAGCAGCCTCAGAAAGGTTGGGAAACACTGGTATCTAAGAATAATTACACGGTCGTCATCCTCGGATTGCGCAGTACATCCAGTTCTGCCAGTAGCATATTCTCTATTGTTTGTGTGTGAATCAGTGCAGGTATCACGATGGTAAAAGCTGCTTCTAATTTTGTACCTCAAGCTGGCTCGTGGGCACCAACTCAGCTACTCGAGTGTACAGGTTTTCAAAGTAGATCATGACTCTGGATAAGGAAAGTTGAAGCTTGATGGCATCAAGACAAGGAGCACTCAGCTTCAAAGACATTGTGTACATGCTGTTAAGGTTCGTCAGGAAACTCCACACAGAATTCATGGGCTGAGTTGGCTACTCGGCTCTAATTTTTTCTGCTGTCAAGGTTTGACTACGAGCCATTGTACATTTGGGTCGGAGGCCAGTCTCCCGTTGTTGGTGAGTTGGTACCGCACTTTGAGACATTGCTGCGATAGCTCCCCTCTGAACTACACGAACGCTTTGTCCACATACCCTTCTGGGCCATAGTGCCGCCTCAGTGATACCACTATGGCTCCGTCAAAGAAGCGTTCAAGCCCAGCGAACAGTTCGTCTAACAAATGGACAATCTGAGCAACCTGCATGTACTGCTATAACAAAGTTCAGTAATGCCTCGGACACTTGCCTCAATTGGCGCAGTCCCACACAAATGAATCACAGTGCTAGTCTAGCAGAATTTGATATACTTGTCAACTTCCTGAGTGAGCAACTAGGAAAATTGAACCGCACCCAGGAAAAGGTTCATTCAACGTGAATCCAGAGTCGGACCAATATAACCTCGTTTATGTCGCGAATTTTTCAGTGCGGAATCCCAGAAAGTAAATATTGGTTGGTATATACACCAATCTCCAGAGATTTGCGCCGATGCAACAGTAGCAAGACTAAAGTAGGATGACGGCATCGTCAATCTGACGCTTTTTATGATGCCACGTGAAGAGCATATTGTCTGAAAAGCCTAGGGAGCAGTGACTTGGGGGACGGCATATGGTCGTCGACCTCACACTAATTCCATTGCAAACAAACGGTTATCCATCATCCGGTATATTAATCACCGAGTGAATGAGGAAATGGTAGACGGGTTAATACAAAGGATGGGAGGAAGTCAGACATGACAAGCTGTCGGGAATAGATGAATGGTCGACCAGCCGATCGTTAGATCGACTGAATGAAAGACTGATTCAACCAACACAATTCGGCTCCTACGCAAATTCACGCGCATCTTATAACTGATGAGCTACGTAGGCAATCTGACTGAGATAACCCACAAAGAGAAAAATAATTATTCTCGTCAGTCAGCGGCAGTGGAGAATGGAACACTAAAACACATCCAAGGAATCACGCCCATATGACAGCCTGCCACCCGTTACGTTTGTCAGCAGACACGTGTGCTTCGATGAGGTCGGTTCACGGGGTCATCGGGCTCGAAATGTAGGAGGAAGATGGATAGTGTGCTCAGAAGGCAAAACAAATAAACGTTCCCTTCAAAAGAACACGGTAGACAATGTATAAATAAACGGCATTCTTTGTGAAGACCGTGTAGCAAAAGGTGAAAAGAATCCTGACGGATGAGATGATTTCGTAAATAACGCCACTGCTTAGGTTTGCCTCCTTACTGGTCGCTGAATATGCTAGCGGTACAAATGTTCATTTGTTCTCCGAGCTTGGCGGTTTTGTTGCAAATGTTTCACCACCATGCGAGGTGGAATCCTCAGTGCAGTGAGATGCGGCGTGCAATCTTACTGAATGAATCGTCCATCCGTGATCGACCTGCAGGTGACTTTTGAAAGTGGCAGTCTCGATTTGCATCCCGTGACCTCTACCCACTTTCGCCACGACAGAAGTCGGCGCCCGAGTTGTTCTGCCTTAAACTGCGTGACAAAATGTTCTTTATTTCGTTCTGTCGAAATCTCTTTCAAAACCAAAAGAAAAACTGCAGGCGCATGAACAACGTAATGTGATGTGCAAAATACGTTGCCGAGATCGCGGAGGGAAGTATGTTGACCAGACGGGCAGAAAACTGATAACAAGAATACAAGAACATAAAAGAGCCTGCGTAAAGCAGTATGCATCATCGTATTTCATTGCACGTAGATGAAGAAGGACATAGCTTCGATTGGAGCAAAACAGAAGTCCTGGCACGGGGTGAAACAAGAAAAGAAAGAGAATTCCTGGAAGCTTGGTTCGCAACGAAACACTCAATCAACATGCACGTCGACATCGATTCAATATACCAACCACTTCGACAGAAAGAAATAAAGAACATTTTGTCACGCGGTTTAAGGCAGAACAACTCGGGCGCCGACTTCAGTCGTGGGGAAAGTGGGTAGAGGTCACGGGATGCAAATCGAGACTGCCACTTTCAAAAGTCACCTGCAGGTCGATCACAGATGGACGATTCATTCAGTAAGATTGCACACCGTACCTCAAAGCACTGATGATTCCATCTCACATGGTGCGGAAACGTATGCAATAAAACCACCAACCTCGAAGAACAAATGAAGAATTGAATCATGCTAGCGGTAGTTGGAATATCACAGCTTCGGACGGAAGGATATTCAAAGCACATCGCAAATTTATTCAACCGTACGGCGACCAACTGATCAGAAAGGTATTGGATGGCCAGTATGCCCTGCAAAGGCCTATCATCGATGGAGCCCTTTCCTTATGATGAGGAAAATTCCGAAGTTCATTCCAATGCGCTGCACTGCAGGGGATTTCTCAGTAATGGAAGATGTCCTGTGCCTTGTCGCAACTAACCAATGAGTCGGGAAAGCGCAGTAACGAATTACATCCAGCAAGTGCATGAGTATGGCTGGGAGCAGAAGAGCCCTTCAGGGTGGTAGGTAGAAGTGGCCTTATTGGACCAAGCTGTGACGAATTCCAATTGGAAACAGCGTTGTTAAAGAAAAATTCGCAAGCGTCAGACCATAATTCATGACTGTCAGCTTTCTAACGTTGAGTCTCAGAACGTCACATGGTGTGCACTGAATCTGACCACATTGTGCCGATCAGTGAATCGATCGATCATCGTGTTCCGCCTTACACAGATTGGAGTTAGATTATGAGAAATCGCCTATAGTAGGTTCAGTGGGCGCCGTAAAGGGCGGTGCCAAGCGCCGAGGAAACGGACCTGAATTCTATGATTGCGAGCTCCAAGAGCACAGGGGCGGGGCATTTCGAATGCTGTCAAATTTGAACAATATGAACCTTCGTGCACGTGAATTTAAGGAAAAACATGTCTAACAGAATCAGATAGCCAGTAGCGCTGTTTGTAACTTCAATCTCCGTAGTGCTCCGCTTCATTACGACTGTTGATAAAACAAGGTTAAAGCTGAAAAATGCTGTCTGCTAATCTTCAGACCACTTTCTCATGTAAAGGAAGCTAAGAAATACACGAGACCAATACTTACCGCTCGGTGTCAGTACGACGATACCAAGGAGCGCATGGTACTAAGGAAGGGGGGTGATGGGGAACTGGAATCGCCGAAGCAGGCGATACACAGGTCACAGAGGCACAAGTAGAGCCGCTAGCAGCCTGTAATGTGTGTTGATGCTGATTCCAGAAAGCGGATCTGTTGGCAATTGCCGCCACCTCGGCGCCGCAAATGTCCATCGTGCCAGATCTTCGGTCACCCGTGACGTCCGAAGATGGTATTGGTGCAGTGGAGTTAGGAAGGTTTATCATATGCGACGTAGTAGTGGGAGTAGCGGCGGCCTTCATTGACAAAGCAGAGGAAGGAGAAGAGGACAGATTGGAACCGAAGGAAGCGGCAGCAGCAGCGGCAGACAAAAGCTGCATATGGGCAGCAGCCGCAGCCGCAAACATGCTGAAGTGAAGGAGATGGAAGAGAACACTGTGAGTGGGATGAACGTATGTTACCTCATTCCCAAAAAGAACTAATACCTTGATAGTCACAGGCAGTATCAAGATGATATCTAACAAATGAACACGGTGCAAAAATAACGCTAACGCACTTCTATTTAAATCATCTAACTGTCAAATGAACTACCCTGTAATTCTCTTAGACTGGTTGGCATGGAACAACCAGTCGCCAAATGGTACTACACCTAAATTTACACAAACTTACAGGTATTTAGCTGCGTTTGCATTTAAAGTAGAGGAAAAAGATTGCTACTAATAAAGTCCTTTGAGGCTGACTGTGTTTGCCTCTATCCTGTCTGACTGTACGCGTTATGCCGGAATTGGCTCACAGATTGGAAACAAAAATGTATTCACTCTAAGTAAACTAAACAGGATACATGACGAGTGCCCAGATGAACAAGGTAAAGTACTTTTATTCCTTTGGGACTCAACGGTGCAGTGCATTCCGTGGACCAGTGGATAAAAATGTACACACACACTGCCAACGAGTGACTGAGAATGAAACCCCAGGAGCATCGTGCGTGCTAACTTCTGCTGAATAAACTAAATGTCCCTGAAGGGCTGAGTTTCCGACACTAAGTATTCGTCTGTTTGCTTGTGGGACACCAGATTTTAGCGGAATATGATTTCTGATAACGTGCCTTACATAAGAGTTTCTGCCTGTGGTGCAACAAATAGCCAGCAAACCGAGCACTACATATCCGTGAGATAGGTGAATTTGTTGCAATCTGGACGAATCCTCATAGGCAGCAAGAACAATGCAACCAGACGGAACATCAGGCGCCAGTTGAAACCAAGCCTGTTAGCTGGTGAGGAGATCCGGTGGACTAGGGTGGTTAGGGAAATGGTGATACAAGCAGTGTGCAACCTCCGCAAACCCATTTAGCTAATCCGTGCCCGCTAATCCCAAGAAGTACTCAATGTGCCGGTAAAGCAATCAATAGTAGCGTTGGAAAAGTTACAACAAGAGATGTCATCTTGCCAGTTGGGTAGAGCACCTTCGAGAGCAGTTTAGTTTATCCTTGCCTATGAGCCGGATATATGGTCCAAAGTGTTGCTACGGTTCCCAATCATTTCCGTGCTATCAGTCTGAACTCTCTCATGTTCAGAATGCTCAAGCATGATAAGGAGGCCTTGTGAAAAGTGTTCATTAAATTACTCAGCTCGAAGAACCAATCAAAACCTTAACTACCAAACCGAACTACAGGTATTTCAAATCACTGTTTATTCGCCTATTCGAACAGACCAGAATTGGAGATCATTCAAAGCACTACAGCGAAACAATTATCGTAACAAGAATAAAGAAGGTTTGCGGCAACAGATGTGTTCACCACAAGAGTATCAGCTCGATAGCGACAGCAACAAAGTTACTAGTTCTTCCTTTCGTCCTTCCCGTAACGGCAAAGCGGTAATCCCGACTGAGAGAATAGTAGACTCGTTTATGGCAGGAAAGGCGTTACACGGATTGTGATTTTGCTCCGATTCAGGCGTGTTTCCCGATCTCAAGAATGGAGTCGACTCAGTTGATGGCTCCGTTCTGTTCGATGCATATTCCTATAAGTGTGATTCAACAAAATACGTGAGCAGTTCGGTTGAACTACACCCGCCATACGCCTTCTCGTTAACAAGTTATGTCGATTCAACTTCATCCTAGATTGGGTGGCAGTTTGTTCCCATGGGTATTCTGATGACGCAGATACTAAAGTTATATTAGTGGAAAACAGTTTAAAGAGCGGCTTCATCCTTTGGAGCGCACTGTGTGTCTGCCCCTTACTGTTTGGCGATGGGAAACTCTCTTGGTTGTGGTGGCGTGGGGGACAGATGTGCGTGCTGCGTGTCAGAATCGCATTTGTTAATCTATGATACCACGCGTCAGGACCACAGTGAGCACTATTCTCTGCCACGATAGTGAAAGCCGTTCCCTTCGCTCTGAAGATCTTGAGTGTCCTCAGATAACTGAACATAGCAATGAAATTGGACCTCATCGTGACGTAATGGTTTGCGTGCCTTAGAGATCCAATGAGCTATGCTAGGTAGTTCCTTTTTGTACCTTCAGAGCCACTCATACCAGATTGCTCAATGGTTAGAAGCCAGACAAACTCAGCCTCCCGGTGCTCCAAGTTGGGAGTGGGAGTGAGAGTGGCTCCTTATTCCTTAAAACGGACTCCCTGCAGCCCACCGCCAAACCCACTGCCTTGCGGTCAAGTTTTTGAAGCAAATACATTGGTTGAGAACCCTAATCGTTCTCCTGTCTAGGCCTGGGCAACCTGAGAGTATCCTCCCCACGGAACACTACGAACCATACCTTAAAGAATCGCCTGATGCTCTGGCCGTCGTAGTGGATAACAAATGGCCCCTAATCTGCTACAATATGCAGAGTGGGTAGGGGTCTGGATGCTACTGCTCAAGTCCTCCCGTCTTCTTATTCCTCCTCTTACGCTTTGCACCCTTATCGACCCGTTCCAACTTTACTACTATCCCCCGTGCATTTGTTGCATTCTTTTCCTTTCTTATGTATTGCGGCACAGTAGCTGAGGTGTTTTCCACATCTAGCTTAGGTGTATGATGATGATGATGATGAGGGTATATTGGGGGATTGCCCGTGTGGAGTGGCACCGGAATGTCGGTAATCATAAGCTGCACATGTTAGTAGAAGGTGGTGACGACCGGACCAGGTAGTTACATCAGTAAATAAGTTAATAATTTGTATTAGCTTGACGAGAAAGACCCGGTTTTGCTTACCCGAACTAGAGTAGCGCAAAGTACGCGTGCAGTAACTTTCACCTGGTAGGTCGGCCAGTAACCTAAAGGTAACAAGGTTGTCTTGTAATCTGAAGGTGAGGATTCGAGCCTGCGTAGGGGCAGGGCGACCCTCGCAGTATCCTTATTCCAAGTGCGACCGGTGGTGGTTGCGCGGTAGCAAAGTATCGGTATTGTGTACCGGCGTACTGCTGATGCCTTCACCTGGTAGCAGTAACTGATTGCTACAATGGGAGTTATCTATTCGTTCCATCCTCTATGCTGGAGTTCACGAAATGAAATCTGCGCTTGTTTCAAGACACCACGAGATATGGCTCGCAGTCGGCACCAACAATCTGCCTGTTGTTGCCCCTAGTTGGATTAAGTATTTAAGGTTTATGTGGTCCATTTATATGTACAGCACGGTTGGTTATGACAGAGAGCACCGAGGGCAGCAAAGATACAAGTCACCAGCCGGACATTTATGACTGTGTGCGTAATGTCCGCTTGGAGCATATGGATCAGGCATTAGATTCTTTATCCCCCTCCTCATTTGAATAACTGAAGCAATTAAGGTTTTATGACAATGAGGATTCAGTACAGTGTGCTACCGTACTGTCTGGATGACGAGGACAGTAATGATGTGGAGGAATTTCCCAACACTGGCGTGGAATCTGTTTTGTAGGACAGTGAACGAGGGCGCGCATCGCATCCCAGTTTCATTGCCAGAACACAAAGTCACTACATAACGGCAGTTCAATAACAGCTCGGAAACATCATGGAGAGTCGCAATGCCTGCAGACGTGCGGTATACTCAAAATATGATTGGTTAGTCACTTCATATTTGTATGAAAAAGTGGAATTCCACAATTATTGTAAGAGTCGCGATATACTTACTGGACTGTTCCAGTGGTAAATGATGTTCAGGCTAACTAGCGGTTGCATGCACAGTAAAACTTGATGAGTACGGTGAACATCTGAGAGGATCTCTCCGCACAGCCAAGCAACTTACAGGTAGTACACCATGCGGGTAGCTATGCCACGGTATCGAAGTGAGCCACCGTTAGGCTTTGGACTTCGCATTGGACGTAAGCAAAGTGCTCCCATGGCAGAGTATTGTCATGGGAGAGGTCACGGAAAACCTCTCTAAACTGATATTCAATATCGTCAAGCTGGGCGGGTCAGCAGCGCATAATTCTTTTGCCTATCGTGTCAGAGACAATTTCAATTCGCATGCGACAACTGAACGACTACCAAAGTATGATCGGAGTGGAGGTAAAGTTGCAAATCAACCAAACAGTCCTGGACATCAGCTAATGGAGACGTGCTCAGCCTGGGTTCAAAGTAGTCAGTCGGTCTGTGGGTACCATGGAGCCAGATGAAAACGCTTGTGTTGGAAAGTTGTGTTGCTTAATTAGATGCACTAGTCGGCATGCCGAAAAAGAAATGTCCCGATGAATTTTCAGTCGATTCAAAATCCTGGTGTCAGAATACAACACAGAGAAAAAAGTGACAAGTGGCTAAGTGAAGTAGCAAAAACAACGACTTGGCGTATGCAATGGCGAACAAGCAGCACACCTCGGGGAATAGGGACTGGCGACAGTCGAATTATTGGAAACTGAGGTTCGACCTGAGTCACGACGTTGATAGAGTGCTGACGTGGGTGACAAGGCTGCGACCACGGCGGCAGCGGCAGCCAAGTTTGATGACTTTGGTGAGCCTGGGGTTGGTATTCCAGAGGAAAAAGCTGGGGATCTGACTGAGACGTTGGTACCACCGGAGGAGTTCCTGGGCCGGGAGAAAAGGGCTGAAGGACTAGGTAGAAGGTGAGCAGTTGGAGATTTCTGAATTTGTGTCGGAGTTGCACGTTGCTGACCATGAGACTGAGGCGACCCCGCGCCATTCCAAGAGGCAACAGCAGCAGCCATAGCGGCAGCACAAGCAGCAGCAGCGTAAAAGTTTGATTGGGGAGTGGGAATGTTCGATGTGGATGCGGATATTGATGTCGATGGGGAGACGATAACCCTGGTCGACGAAACTGCTGATGTCGTGATTGCGTGCAAACTTGTGAATGCCGAACCTGGGTGTACAATGAACAAGCAAAGAAAGTCGATTTAAATTGGTGGGCTAACACACCGTGATATCTTGGTGCTCCCGAGTTGACAATCAACGATCACAGTGAGAAGCGAGAGGAAAACTTGGATCCTTCTCAAAGATAATCGGATCTGAAACGTATTAGGACCAGAGCATATCCAGTACACTTCTCCCCCCCCGAGTGTCTCATTGAAGTTAGTGTGAGACTGTCATCGGATGAGCGGTAGGTTGTGATGAAAAAATCCAAGGGGTCATTTGTATTCATCTAGTGCCCGTCTGCTATAGCTACGACTAAGGGAACAGGACCAACACCAAAGTGAGTGGCAAATGAAACGAAATCAGGCCGCGTCTAGGTGACACCGGTATCTCCCACAGAAAAGTTGGTGACAGTGGCATCCTTACCAACGCGGTATGGCAGCGAATGTCGACAGAGAAGGCCCGTATAAATGATAAGAGACAAGTGAGTTCAGCTGCATGACAAGTATGTGGCAAACCCGCCCCAATGTTTGGGGCCAGTTTAAATGAATGGCATCATCATTCAGGCGTGCACACAGGCGGTGGTTAGTCAGCGGAACAGATAAACTATGGTTAACACAAGTCCAACACGCGGTAGTCAGAACGTACTAGTCACAGTGAGAATCGTCAACATGGAGGTAATAAGATGAATCCAATCGGCAAAATCAGGCGACAATTATTCAAACGTTTGCGTGGTGCCTGCTAAAATGGGACTAACCGATGGTGTGTGCCGACTTGATGGTGCCAGATTGTTTAAGCTTGGGGAGATCACCGGATTTAGATCCATCTTTCTCTGAACACCACCACAATAAGTACATTACCAGACAGCCCTTTGCTATAAGGATATATTAGCAGAGTATGTGAATACATATTGTGGTAGAGAGGGGAATGAATTGGTTGTCCTTACCACAGTTACTAGGGACGACTGAATCTGAAACAGGAGAATGGGCCAATTCAGTACCGGATGAGACCGTGAAAGAAGCGGTAGACGGTGGTAGTAGTGGTGGTGGACTGTGTGTACGACCTGCACTTCGGGACCGGGATGGTTTGCGGTGTCCCAACTGAGTACCGATCCAATCTGGCTCTTTGGGGAGATGTGTGGTGTATGGGTGAGTTTTGTGCCCCACAAGTAATGAAGGATTTTTGAGTTTCCAATCTGGTTTGCCGTTCACAAGGTACGCACCCGAGTTGGTTTCTCCTTTGGATTGTGATGTGGTTCCCGGAGGGGTCCCCGGTTGGTGAGAATAGGCTGCTGCAGCAACTGCTGCGGCAGCCGCTGCCGCTGCTGCTGCACCACAGCCAAAAGGGCCATAGAAGGGCATCAACCCGAACGGATTCGTGGCGTACGAGGAAAGGGGTTGAGCCTGGAACGACAGGAAGGCAAAGATGAGGTGACAGAATCCTTGGACTTAAAAGGATGTACCCAAAAAACAGCTGTATCATTCATCCCCCGATTCGTCCGGGAAAGCTGCTATGGGCGCACACGAATGTGCATCCTTAATCAAGGTATCGGGGAGTAGGCATTCGTTGTGGAGCAACGCTATTAAAATTGAATTAACCAATTCACCGGAACACACGCATGCACGTGCGTGTGCGCGTGTATGACACATTGTTACAACATGCCAGCTGCCTAATAAGATTTTGACAGACGGATAATCACTTAGAGGCGCCAACTCCTGCCGTCTAAGTCCTCTAATCGGCTCCGGCCTCATAAATACTAACGATGCGACTCGGATGTCTCCCGCTACCGGGTGCACGCGTATATGCATATCGTAAGGGCAAGACAAAGAGGAGCGGCGGGTGGGGAGGTGGTCTACAGGCCGGCTGAAGGTGGAGGGAGTGAAAAAGCGTTGGCACACTGAAACAACGGCAAAATTATTCCATAAAAACGAAAACCCAAATCCTCACTATCATGGCAACTGCCCAATAGTGCCAGAACGGTCAATACGGACGCATTTTCGCCCGTTCACGCGTGCACACAAACGCAGACATCATACGACGACGGAAAGTGTCAATCAGGCAGGAGATTCAAACAAAAACTGACCGAATATGGCAAGCACGCGCACACACATGGGCACAAGGAAATAGCTCTTTGACAGTGATCGGAACTGCACGCGTGACATCTGAATGGAGAGGAAGAATGATCCGCCAATAGCTAAAATGACTGTGATAACTGAACTAACGATGGAAACAGGTGACTAACAGACGAATCCGTGGATATGGGGGCACTATTGTGATCCATTACTAAGCATCCGCGCATGTCGAAGAGATAAGGTAAAACAGGAAAGGGATCATTTCGCACAAAGCATGCAGCCCTATGAGCACGAAAATTGGATAGGTAGACGAATTTCAAGGATTAATCAAGCGGGGTTCGATCAGTTTAAATGAGGACTCATCAGGGTAACCCTCGGATGAAAGACCGTCACATCATTGAGGAGGCGCCTGACGATCGTTTCCTTCCTCTGGAACTCGCTGGTAACGGATGAGAACCAATGACTCCCATGCAACGCAGTGAAGACTACAACTGGGCCAAGGCAGTGACAAGGCGGCGTAGCTAAACAACTGGTATAGTGTAACTCAATGTTTACTGCCATGCACATAGAAACAAATGCCTATCAAGAAGTGAGCCACAGGACTGATCCCCAGAGTGTATCAAGCCCCAAAACAGGAAGTAACCGTCTGCGCATTCCAATAATTGTGCCGACAACTCGACTCATGTGACTGTAATGAAGAGTCTTTGGGATTAGCTGAACTGTCCTAGTTCAGACAGGCACTCATTGAACAACTAACATTTAGCCTGAGCAAGTCGGTAACAAAGTTGATCATCTAAATGATGTTGTAGACCTCTTGGACATGTAGGCCTCACGTTGCGTCGTGGCTGAAACACAACGAGGATCCAACTCATATACACTCAGGTATCGGGATAATCAACAACACTAGCACACTGGTAGTCCGTGATGATTTTAGTTCGTACCTTGAGCAGGAATGTATCGATACGCTATGGTTTCTCACTGCAAGTGAAGAACCAAACGGAATGATTAATTAATTGGTTTTCTTGGAGTGCGAGTAGATGTGAATGGACCGCGGGTAAGTGTGACGCGAATATTGGTCAATTCGGTCTCAGGGACCGTTAAGTGTTACCCGCTCTCAATAGTGAATCGCACGACGGGCTTCGTGATTGTCCGTAAGCTACCGGTAGAGTTAGCTGGAGTGCAATGCTCCAGCCCTGGAATAGAAAGCATCGGGAGCAAGAGGCGAAAAACGATGCCAAAGATGTTTTCCAAACAGGAAAGCCAAAGGTAGACACTTTTAGAAAAAGAACTAAGAGCTGTGGAGCAATAAAGAAGAGATTGAGTCCATCACAGCTGAGTGAAATGCGTCTACAAGTATGTGGTTTGGTTTAATTCGGTTGTTCAACAAGAGCCGATATTCCAAAGTGCGGTGAATCCAGCTATCATGAAGCTCACTAGCAAAAACTATTAGTAAGCAAAGGAAACAGGGACAAAGTCAAATCAAAAGGGATAGACAAAATACACTAAAACTATACAATAAAAAATTCGCACGCTGGAACAAGTTCGAGAGTGCAGTACCGCCACAAACTTAGTGACTAGACCATGGCGTATAAGGTTTTAACCCAGTGACGCCGTCCATCCCATAGACTTCACCCATGAATAAGACACATAAATTGGGTTCAAGTGGTTAGCCAGTGCTCACACTCTTTTGTATTGCATTGGCGGCCGGTCGCCCAGGGGTTCCACACAAACAGACGATATGCCGTAGTACACCGTCACTATTTTCTTGATGGTCTACTACCATGTGACTGCAAGCCTTTGTATTTATATTTGCAGCAGTCTACAAATAGACACTGAGCCATCAAAAAACCATGAGGAACGAAATATAAAAGTACAGATGTCAAGAACAGATAACAAATATTTTGTCTTTTTATTTTTTGTTTGTTTACACACACCGTTTGGTTCTTTTTTGGCATTTTGAATGGTATAGATTGGTCAAAACATTCAATATACAGTCACTCCACTGATTCCGGTTTCGCGCCATATCGCCAAGTGTGTCAAGCCATTGGCAATCCTCATCCTTGGACCCCCAACAGGAAGAGGTACAGGGCCGACGATGGCGAGACGAGAGGCCAGCAATTTCATGGTTTGCCGCTAAGTGGCTGGCTGACCTCCACGCGTTCTCTTCCAATCCAATCCCGTGCGAGCAAATAAGGTGCGGCGTGGTAAGCGCTCGCATGACATACGTAGAACGTGACCAAGCCACCACAATTGACGCACTGCGACAAGGCGATCAAGCGGCGGCTCATGTTTCCCAAGATGCGACACGGGACTTCATCGCTGCGAAGCCGGTGCTGCCACCACACACGGGTTATCCGCCGCAAACATCTGTTGTCGAAGGCCGAAAGCCTACGCATGTCATCTAGATGAATCGGCCAAGACTCATTTCCGTACAGCAGGACCGCGCGGACACAAGCGTTGTAGACCCTCCCCTCATGCTAGCTGTGATACCACCAGAAAACCCCAACATAGTCAGAAGTGCGGATGTGAACTTGAGGTGTAGAGTGATGGGCCAAACGTCCGAATTGTTAAATTACGCCCTTCCCCAGGAATGGATGCAGCACCTGTAAACGGTACAACCTCACACAGCCGGTCTGCAGGTACACGATGGACATGACAAAGCTAGCCTAGGTGGTTGGGGTCTAGAAAACAGCCGAGTGCGGTATCAGAGGGTCTGTGACAAACGTCAGGTGATGAACTTCAGGACCCATCAGGCACTCCCAACAGATATAAGAAAGGACATATATCAGTGGTCAAACACTTTCAGCCTCTCTATGACCTCGGTGAACAACGAACGTGTCTGATTCATACCGTTGAACCGCCGCGTCACACTGCTTCCAAATAACTAACAATCCGCCCCAAGGCGGTTGAAGCTTGGGAACGCTAAACGGGCTTTACAGGTGCGTTCAATAACCTCTCTAGTGATCCGACCGCCAGATGCGATACAACTAGCTAGAAATGATAGACGGATCGACCGATTCGGGCGGGTGCTCGATGACAGCGAGGGCGTAAGAAGTGTCGGCCCAACTGCATCAGTGATTTACGCATCGAGTGTGTGCAACATATGGCGAAGCATGCAACATATTACAACGCTTGCATAACAACTCAGGTTGACCACATGAAGCCACAAGTTGGTTAATTGATCAATTAAGTCATGCTACATTAAGCAGTGTTGGCAATACATAGGCATTCTGTGATGAAGGAAACAAGGTTTGGACAACTCTAGGATAATATAGACCTAAGCAGCTAAACTTCGAATAAAGAGCGGAGAGTGTTGAACAGCAAATGTCGCTTCGTAAAAATCACCCCAACGGCTTATTCGACAGACTGTAAGAGAAAACATCCGATCAACACAATCACCAACCGACCGGAATCTGAATATGACAGTTTCAACCAAAGCTTTCTCATCCAATGATTGTTGGTCTATGGTCTGTGTTAACTGAACAGCGGACAGAAGCGTTAACGTGGCTCCGAAACGGTCAACTATATCAAATGACCGTATCGGTCATTCACGACAGATGTCCGTCATCCAAACCAGAGGCTTTGATAGAGGTGCACGAATTACGGAAACGAATACCTGTAACCACAAAAAAACTCGGTGTACCATGACTGTCACAAGCCAACTAAACTCACAGGAAGGTTTCATGCAAAACTCCATCCATGGTCGAGACGGTGACTTACTGCCGCATCAAGCAAAGCATTTCTTTCATACCGACCCAAAGCAAACAGAGGTAAGTTGGAGCACTCCGATCAATAAGTATTTCGACAAATAAAAGAATGGCGTGGTAAGGATCGCTTGGTCTAGCCAGGTTCTGTTACATCGTGTCAAAGGTAGTAATGGAAGTAGCGAAACTCCACTTCATCCCAAAGAAAAGCATGGAGTCATATCAGCAGGAGTAATAACCGAACAAGGAAAATCCAACGTTAGTGGAGCATATGAGATGGAAAAGTGACGCAAACATAATGTGCTTGGATTGCACTATTGCTCGCGCTAGTAGCAACAAGAAGTGGCTGAAATAGGGAAGGTGAAAGAATTGCTACCAAAGCGACAAGGAGCAAAGCAAGACAAGAGCGAGGGCGAGAGATATGAACCTTTTCGCTTGTGCAACGTTAAATCCTACAAGAACCATCAGTACTACAGTAGCAGTGGCGTAGTGTAATTGAGTTAAAGCGCGCAATCGCACGAGAGCCACAATGAAACCGTCGTTATCATCACCAACAGTAGTTTAACAAGCATTTGAATTTATGTTTCGCTGCCTTACAACTACAATGGCCTAATGGATAAGGAAAAA